AACCCAAAGCATACCAAGGCACTTTTGTGTACCGGTTGAAGCGCAATTGAGTTCGGGAACGTGGTGAAGGAACTCTGGACTGTTGCTGGACCATTCTCGGGCATTCATCGATGCGGCTGAGAATAACTTCTTCGTTGCAGTGTACTTATGAAGGGCCTCATCAGGAGAGGTTGCGCCGATAAACAAGTTGTCTACATAGATATTCCGAAGAAGTTCTTGCGCGTCTGGGACGTCGGCAATAGAGAGATGATGGCAAACAGTAGCTGCTAGAAGGAAGGGGCTACTGATCACCCCAAATGGCACACGACAGAAGCGGTAGACTACAAGATTCTCTGGTGAGGGTGGTTGATCAAGGTCCTTGACCCACAGAAAACGAGTGACGTCTCTGTCCGCTTTGCATAGGCTGAGTTGAAGGAAAGCTTTTTCTATGTCACTGGAAATGGCAATAGGCGAAAGGCGGAAACGCAGAAGGACTCCAGCGAGATCAGGGACGAGGTTCGGGCGAGCAGCTAGGCAGTCGTTCAGGCTGGGGTGGGAGCGTGAGAGCTTGGCGGAAGCATCGTAGACTATTCGGAGCTTTGTAGTCGTGTGTGAAGGCTTCTCTACGCAGTGGTGGGGAAGATAATGCACAGAATTCGAAGTGGGCCCAGGCGGTACTATCTCAATAATGCCTTTGGTCAACTGATCTTGCAACACACTGTTGTACTGTTGAAGAAGAGTACGCTTTGACGTGACACGCTTCAAAAGGGAGGTCAGTCGGCCCAGTGCTAATCCGTAGTTGGATGGAAGTTCGTCGTGCAGGTCCCGCCACGGCCACTCGACAACATAGCGAGAGTCTTCGAAAGAGAGTGTGTGGAGGAATCGCTGAAGAACGATGTCTTCGTGGTCTGCGTTGTCTGGGACAGGGAACTCTTCCGCTGCCCAAAACCGCTGCAAGTCCATAGAGGGATCTCCATCGCTGTGACTGTGGACTGCAAGACATGATTGACCCTTCGACGTGGCCGGTGTAGGTACCGTACCTGTACAAATGAAGCCGAGGGAAGACTGCAGGAGGACAAGTCCCCCTGGAAGTTCCAAGCGGTCTGGACCCACAATATGGTAGTAGTGATCGAGGCCCACCAGTATGTCGATGGGCAATGAGCCTGAAGAAGAAGCTAGCGGTTCGGCAAGGGGCAATGATTGCAAGACTGGATACCGCTTTGCCAATTCTACCCTCTGAATCGGTGCAGTGATTTCTGGTAACACACATGCTTTGAGGAGGTGCATGGAGCCATCATTGCACTGCACCCTAACTTCCACCTGGTCATATTCTGTTGTGTGTCGCTTGCTATTGCCAAAGGTTGCTAAAGAAATATACTGCTTACCGACTGTGGGCAGGTTGAGACGTGTTGCTAAGTGCGAAGTGACATACGTGCGATTTGCACCAGTGTCGAACAAGATTCTCGCATTGACAATGTCACCATCGTGTGTTGAGCATGATGCTACGGCCGTTTGCATTACGACATGGCTACCACCGTTCGCTGTAAGTGTGTTGGCGTGAGGTGTGAAAACCTCCGCATGAGCGCTTAGGCTGGTTTGGGATGAGGGTGTGAATTTAGTCGGGCACAAACTGCGGTGATGGCCAGACGTTTTGCAATGATAGCAAGTGATTGTGCTAGTGCATTCACGTGTACTGTGCCGTGTACTGAAACATTTGAGGCAACGACCTTTAGCTGCCTTCTGTCTGTCATTGATCGTGGTAACTTTGGTGCATTCGTCTGTATAATGTGCGGCCTTGCAAAATGCAGAAGTAGGCTTTCGCTGAGACATTGCTTGTGCTGGTAATGAATGCCCAGAAGATGGAGATGGGGAAGGGGATGTGGCATGAGAGGCCTTGAAGCTGCTCGTATCGTTGGGCTTCTTTGGAGGGCAAAGGCGATCTGCCGCTTCGTGTGCCGCAATGTACACTCCTAGAGCGTCTCTTAAATCCTGGCAGGTCCACGGCGTTGGGCCCTTTTTTAGCTCAAGGGTTACAAGTGTGGTACGCGGAAGTTTGCTTGTCATGATGGAGATAATTACGCCTGAGTCAGTTTTCTCGCCGAGAGCATCAAGGCTACGCAAGTGAATTTCTAACTGGTCATACAACTTGCGTAAAGAGGTCGTGGTGTTTGACGCGGAAGGTAAGTCGAGCATTGACGTGTAATGCGAATCCACCAGTACTTGTTTAGTGCCGAATCGGGCACGAAGGATATCCAACGCAATGGTGTAGTTTGCGTTCGACAAAGGGAGGCCGGAGATGGCGTCATGGGCCAACCCAGTAACGTGGTCCTTGAGGTAGGTGAGTTTTTGTACATCTGACAGTCCCGTGTTACTGTCAATTGACGACATGAACATGTCATGGAATTCGCTCCATTTCAAAAAATCTCCAGAAAATTTGGAAATTTCAAATTTTGGTAATTTGACAGATGTTGATGTTGAAGTAGTACAAGGCTGAGATTGAGATTGTAGCGTGTTGAGGAGAACGGTCTGTTGTTGTAGGAGCTGTGATTGTGTTTGAGTCATGGATTTATGTTGTTGTTGTGTGGTAGATAGCAGTTTTGTTGCGGTAGCGTGTAGTGATGCTGAGGCTAAGACATGCTGATCGTGCGAGTCTGGGTCGCTAGCGCCAGCTGGGTTTCCGATCGCGCTAGGCGATGACGTGTGTAACGTGCGTTTGATGGCAGTGATTGTGGAGCGTACAGATGATGAGCAATTTACACAATCCTCTAACTCAGTTTCAACATCTTCTTTAGAGATACCCAGATTCTCAGGAACCAAAATCTCAGCTAAACTACCACAAAAATCGTCATAATGCTAATAAGGAAGATTCTAAAAAAGAGCACAAGAAACTTAGCTTTTGCAAGGTGTCCGGATCGGGAGAGGCAGGTTCGATGGTCTGGAGCAGAGCAGAGGCTTCCTTGATGTGTCTCTGAATGGCCACTTGCTGCACATGCACCTGCCTACGTCTGAGGAACAAAGTCCCGACGGGCGTCTTATCCTTCTTCGCTGGCATCTACTTAGTAGGGTTTCGGCACCAGTTTGTCGTCGTTGTCATCGCATCGACAAGAGTTTTTTTTTGTCTTTTATAAGGTTTTATTATTGCTCTTGATGTAGCTCTGAGCTACTGATTAGAGCAGGAAATAACTGATCTCTACTCTAAGAAGAGACATGAAGAAGACTAGCGAAAAGCTGCTTGTAGAGAAACAAAATATAAAGTCGGCAAGTAGTTCTTGCTGGGAACGGCGCTATATTCGGATCACTGGATCCATACTAGGCTCAAGCGATTCCTCAGGGGTCAGCGCGAAGGCAGAAATAGGCATGCGGGTACAGCCAGAAATGGACGTGTGTACACCATGGTACACATGACATAGGAGAGCAAGGGAAGCGCAACGCGAGCTGTTGCAGCCAGAAACGGATACATGCGCAGAAAGGGGAGCGCACCGCGACATGCACGGCAGCCAGAAACGGATACATGCGCAGAAAGGGGAGCACACCGCGACATGCACGGCAGCCAGAAACGGCTACATGCATACAACAGAGAGCAAGTAGAGCACACTGCTAGCTGCAGGACAGCCAGGAATGGCTGGGTGCATACAAAAGGGAATCGCTTGGTGCCAAAAAAGGGGGCACATAAATGATCACGACTGATGTTCGTGACAAGTTATGTATGCGAAGTGTATAGGGGGAATGCATGCAGGGCGATAGTGCGGGTTTGAGTGCTAGGTCTACCAGCAAGATCAACATCAGTCTCTCAGAAACACCCTTCGAAGCCCAACACGCCAACCACCTCACCTCCATGCGTCACGAAAAGTACAAAACAACATTGAGTTCGCTAAACACATATAGGAGCTCAAGAGCGAAGGAAAGCCGTTGACTATCGCTTGGAAGGTGGGGGAGAAGAGCCGGTCGTACAGATGCGAGTCAAAGAAATGCAACCTACAAAATAATTCCACATCCTGACTACACTGAAAAAGCTCCTGCTCAACAAGTGATTTGAGATGATCTCGAAATGCAGGCATGGGAACAAGTTCCGCCTTGCAAATTTCACACCTATCAAATGAACTGATCAAGTTCTGTACAGCACTTTGCCTGAGCATCCCAACATACCAGTACCGCAATCCCCTGTTGTTGACTATACCACTCTGCTCACGCCCGCACGATCACCCAAAGGCCCCCTACTAGCCCTAGCGATCTCATTCGCCTGTTGCCCGCCATCCTCCTGGCACTTCCACCATCTGCTGTACACTGCATACCCAACGCATAATAATGTCCGCACTCTAATACTCACACCTGCATATTGCCCGCCACCCTCCTGACACTTCGGAATCACGTACATTTTGATGGGGAAAGGTCATACGTATGGCATATGGCATACTATTTCTACAAAAGTTACAAAAGAGTAGTAATATTTCCACTGAAACTGCCCAAAGGGTGCCCGGTAGACCGAAGTGCCCGTCACTTTGAGGTCCGGATAATAGATGTGCATGTGACATGTCCACTACATTCCACTGTTGTGGACATGGAAATCCGTTGAGAAGTCCAGCGACCGCAGGGCGCTGGCCACGGTCTATTCTTACAGTGTGTACATGAACTACACTACAGTGAATGTACGCGCTAAAAGCTGTTAGGGGGCCGGCAGCTGTCATCTCAACGGATTTCAATGTCCACGACAGTATCAGAACTTGAAGTACTGTGCACATAGGAAACTGAACAGCATTCACCTCTCTCCACGGTTTCTCGTTTCTCAGAAACAGCGAGTTGGCAATGGAAAATGTTCACGGTGACCATCATCAGGCAGGAATACAGTAACGCTACAGACCTAGGGACCGTCATGGGTTGGGTGCAATAGTTATAGTCTTGCATGCCATAAGTCAGGAAATGTCTCCATACACCAGGCCAGATATGGGCCCGCACCTGTCTGGGTTGAGTGACTGTGAGTGTTAGCATGCTACAGCCGTGACTATACGCTTGTGAGAACTTACCAGGCCAGGTGGGGCGCCGCCAGGCTGATGATGAAAAGACACACAAACACAGACATGGAATCATGTTTTAACTTAGTGTCACTGTAAATAGCAATAAAGCCTTGATTGCTCACAGTCTTAAGTGTTTTCCGTAGAACTGTACACTTTTAAGTTTGGATAGAACACAATTGTAACAAGTCAAATTTTGATCTCTGGTCAGGAACATGTTTTTTTGTAAATTTCACAACAGCAACTTAGTGAACACAAGTACTATCCCTGTTCAGCCTTTAGGGAGCAACAAAGTTTTGATTGCGAAATTCACGGAAGCCTGTACCGTAAATTCCTCTGCAACCTTCCACCCCTTTTTCTGCTGCACTGACACCATGCACTCTCAACGCTACCGTACGAAAGTGCATCTCACACCATAGCGCGAAGAGCGCTTTGCTACAGTAAACTATGTCCACTTTCCGGTTATAAAATCTCTTCGGGCACTAGCCACGAGTTAGCTCCTAGTGATGATGATGATTATGCTGGTTGTTTTATTTCTCAACTCCAAACCAGAGTTTCTTCCAATAACAAAGTAGCAAAGAACATAGCATTGCAGGAACCAACACACCGAGTCCTGACGTGACGGTGTTTCAAGCCATCATATCCAAATCACGCAACGCACAAAGGCATGGGTTTTTCTCGGGCACTTCAGAGTTCTCAACCATTTAGCATCGACTTTGTAGCTGTAGCACCTGTGACATCCTGCTTGTTCTCCTTGCAACTGCAATACTGCAACCGGTCAAGTCGTTGAGTGACGCATCGTCAGAACAATCCTATCTCCGGTGAATCACCGTTGGATTCAGACAGCATGAAATTGTGGCACTGCAGAAATTTCATGGTTCAAAAACCAGACAGATTCTACGGCATTTCCACATGGAGAACGAACTGATACAAAGACAAGTCATTTATCGAATGAAAGGAAATCTCGACAGAAGTTTTTCTTTGATGCAAGAAAATGACAATCACTTTTGCAGAGTCTCCTGGAAAGACACAGGCAGTTTGTAGGCATTACAGAATTTACAGTCGTTCTCGTACGCATTCAGCCTTCATGACGGTTTCATACAGCTTTAATAGTGACCTGAAAAAGACAAAAATAGCATGGACCTGCTGGGGTGGACAGTTGCTGCAACGTGGGCGTTTGCAGTGGACTTTACCGTATTAGTCTGTGTGCAGTATGGCATGAACTCAGAGCAGAATAATTCCATCGGTAGCTGGTCTCGTATATTCTGAAACATGCTTGACATGACATACATGTGTTGCAACCAGTGAAGACAGCATGGCTGATATAATGTCACCTGATGATCTAGGTTGACATGTTTGAACCAACATGGCCGCCCCATTTAAATACATTGTAACTCGGATGTTGAGCCAATAATAAATGTAGAAAGGAAACGGACATTATAGTATACCGTATTTTCCGGAGTATAGTGCGCACTTTAGATGTGCTACTTTAGGCCCTAAATCGCAGGTGCGCACTATGCTCCGGATATGAAATGCATGTACTTCAAGTTCAATGAAGATTGAAGTGCACACCCCAATGAAGATTGGGGGTGCGCGTTATAAAAAGGTGCGCACTATACTCCAAAAAATACTGTAGTATTATAGTATCTGGTTACAGTGATGGAGAGTTTCTCCTCACTCGTTTCCATAATAATTATTATGTCCTTTTCCTTTCTACACGTACATCGTGATGGGGAAAGGTCATACGTATGGCATAGGTCATACGTATGGCATAGAGCATACGTATGGCATAGGGCATACGTATGGCATAGGTCATACGTATGTTGTTGTTGTTGTTGTAGAAGTTTATTTAACGTCGCACCACAAACAGGCGATTTCGCCTCCTTTGATACATGTGGACGACAGAAGGAATGAGAGAGAGGGGGGGGAACAGAAGTATGGAGAGAGGAAGGGTAGAAATAAATAAGCAATCAACCTCAGGGCTACACCAAAGCAAAAACGGAATGGGAACATACTATATACAAAATAGCTTCATACATATATTGCAAAACACGTTTACTATTCTTCAGTCCGCTATACCACAGAAACACACTAGCCGAAAAGCATTTAAACGGAGCCATGATGCGCTTTTAGCAGGGCACAGAACTGAAGGTGGCTGGGCTCGGAACGGAGATCAGGCGGGAGCTGGTTCCACAGGACTGCGCTGGTGAACTGCATGGTCGCTCGACCCGCAGGACCGGGCCAAAATGGTACTCGAACGAGGTGATGTGCTGCTCCCCGAGTGCGGTCACCAGTAACTCTCACGAAGAAGCTGGTGAAGAGGGAGCTAGCTCGGGAGAACAGACAACGACGGACAAAGATGAGGAGCTTAATGTTAAACATGTCCTCCAGGGTGGTGAGGCGGAGCTGTTCAAAGATCGGGCTCGTGCGCGACCACGGTGGCAGACCGAAGAAGCCGCGGATAGCGCACTTCGTTAGACGTGTGAGGGGCTCCATGTTGCCAATTTGAAGTGACGGATAAAAGGCGTTGGAAGCGTACGACAACCTACCCTGGATCATACGTATGGCATAGGTCATATGTATGGCATAGGTCATACGTATGGCATAGGTCATACGTATGGCATAGGTCATACGTATGGCATAGGTCATACGTATGGCATAGGTCATACGTATGGCATAGGGCATACGTATGGCATAGGTCATACGTATGGCATAGGTCATACGTATGGCATAGGTCATACGTATGGCATAGGTCATACGTATGGCATAGGTCATACATATGGCATAGGGCATACTATTTCTACAAAAAGTTACAAAAGAGTAGTAATATTTCCACTGAAACTGCCCAAAGGGTGCCCGGTAGACCGAAGTGCCCGTCACTTTGAGGTCCGGATAATAGATGTGCATGTGACATGTCCACTACATTCTACTGTTGTGGACATGGAAATCCGTTAAGAAGTCCAGCGACCGCAGGGCGCTGGCCACGGTCTATTCTTAGTGTATACATGAACTACACTACAGTGAATGTACGCGCTAAAAGCTGTAAGGGGGCCGGCAGCTGTCATCTCAACGGATTTCAATGTCCACGACAGTATCAGAACTTGAAGTACTGTGCACATTGGAAACTGAACAGCATTCACCTCTCCACGTTTTCTCGTTTCTCGGAAACAGCGAGTTAGCAATGGACAATGTTCACGATGACCATCATCATGTGGGAATACAGTAATGCTACAAACATAGGGACCGTCATGGGTTGGGTGCAATAGTTATAGTATTGTGCACCATGAGTCTGGAAACGTCTCCATACACCAGCCCAGATACGGGCCCGCACCTGTCTGGGTTAGAGTTACTGTGCGTGTTAGCATGCTACAGCCGTGACTATAAGCTTGTGAGAACTTACCAGGCCAGGTGGGGCGCCGCCAGGCTGATGATGAAAAGACACACAAACACAGACATGGAATCATGTTTTAACTTAGTGTCACTGTAAATAGCAATAAAGCCTTCATTGCTCACAGTCTTAAGTGTTTTTCGTAGAACTGTACCCTTTTAAGTTTGGCCAACACACTTGCAAGTAGTCAAATTTTGATCTCTGGCCAGGAACATTTTTTTTGGGAATCTCACAACAGCAACTTAGTGAAGATAAGTACTATCCCTGTTCAGCCTTTAGTGAGCATGAAAGTAGGGACCGTCATGGACTGAGTTCAATAGTAACTATTGAACTCAACCCAGGACTGTAACTGTGATAGTCGTGTGTGCCATGGGTCTAGAAACGTCTCCATACACCAGCCCAGATACGGGCCCGCACCTGCCTGGGTTAGAGTTACTGGCAGTGAAAGCATGCTACAGCCGTGACTATAGTTTTTTCCTTACCAGAGAGCCGTCATCGTTGTTATTGCCGTTACCTGAAATCAAAGGACGCAAGTAAGAACAACGTCACACTTATACCTGGTTTGTGCATGCACTCAATCCAACGCAAAGAATGGAAACAAGCAATGCTGGTGATCTGGTGAAGACATTTCTCCCAAACCACACAATTCAATATTGATTTATTGCGTTTCAACGAACGTTAGGTGTTGATTTCTTGATGGCTCCAAATACAATTCACATTCAATGTGATGCAAACTGATCTGGTGCCGTCCCTGCATGCCCATATTGTATTCCTATTGTACCCCTAATACACACTATTGTACCCCTAATACACACTATTGTACCCCTAATACACACTATTGTACCCCCAATACACACTATTGTACCCCTAATACACACTATTGTACCCCTAATACATACTATTGTACCCCTAATACACACTATGGTACCCCTAATACACACTATTGTACCCCTAATACACACTATTGTACCCCTAAAACACACTATTGTACCCCTAATACACACTATTGTACCCCTAATACACACTATGGTACCCCTAATACACACTATTGTACCCCTAATACACACTATTGTACCCCTAATACACACTATTGTACCCCTAATACACACTATTGTACCCCTAATACACACTATGGTACCCCTAATACACACTATTGTACCCCTAATACACACTATTGTACCCCTAATACACACTATTGTATTCCTAATACACACTATTGTACCCCTAAAACACACTATTGTACCCCTAATACACACTATTGTACCCCTAATACACACTATTGTACCCCTAATACACACTATGGTACCCCTAATACACACTATTGTACCCCCAATACACACTATTGGACCCCTAATACACACTATTGTACCCCTAATACACACTATTGTACCCCTAATACACACTATTGTACCCCCAATACACACTATGCAAACACTCTGTGAGTGACCTTCCATGTCTTGCAGGGTTTTCAATGCACATCCGGTTTAGCTATGTGTATGATTGTACTGAAATCGTCCTTTAACTGAATTCTGCAAGCCCGTCCTGGACCTAGCTACACACAGTAGTTGCCAATACAGGTACTACATGGCCCTGTGTACGGTGTCCATGTGCCTTATTGGGAAGAAATACACACTGCGCATAGTGCAGGAATCTGCTGCAAAATGAATTTTTGCGAGCGCGCAAAAATAAGTTAACACAGAAGGCGCATGTGCCGCGCCGGACACTTCACAGTTTGCTTCCAGCTCAGATTTGCATGGCTGACTGGCGACTCTCTTCAAACAGGACGAGCCCTCATTGCTCTCCCCGGACATCATTTCCTCGGCCGTGATGAACGCCCTCCACCCTCTCCTCGAGCGCGTGGAACGCCTGGAGAACAGTGCTGAGTCTGGAAGCCGATCTCTCCCACGCTCGCGCTCCGCACCTGAAAGATCGCTCCCACGCTCGGAGCGTCAAGCTCCGGACCTATCCTGCCCGGAACTTCCAGTCCTGTCGGAACCACCGACTTTGCCAGGACCTCCAGTTCTCTCCGAGTCCTCGGTTCTACCCACACCGCCACGTCGCGCGATTGAAAAAATCCAGCGCGGAGAGTTTGTGGAACTTGAGGAACTCTTGCCGGAAAACTTCAGCTCCCAGGGACAGGAGCCAATACAATTGGTTACAGCTGGCGGCGACACGGCTCAGGTCTCGCTCAACCTCAGTGCAAAGCAAAAGCGCGCGATCAACGACTTCTCGGCTTGGCTGGAGGCCTGGACAATCTACATGGGCATCGTCGTTCGTGCTCGTCCTGACCGAGCTCATGAGCTCGTCTGCTATCAGCACATACTTTGTACTGCGAACCAACAGTTCACGACGTCTGCTGTGCTGAACTATGATCGAGCATTTCGCCAACACACCGCCAGCATGGCACTGCGCTGGGACGTGATCAACCAGACGCTGTGGAGTATTCACCTACTCCGCTCACCCCGTCCGTCGTGCACCAAATGCACGCTCCAGCACAGCCGCGACCGCTGTCCACATGCCGCAGCTCAACACGCGCAGCCCTTTCCATCCGTGGCGGGCAGCACCCGCCAGGTCTGCTTTAACTTCAACCGCGGCAGGCCATGCTCCCGCACACCATGCGACCGTCTCCACGCCTGCAGCTCCTGTGGAGACAAAGGACATGCCGCCACATCCTGCACCAGCACCACCCGCTTCAGGTGGCAGCGCCCTGCAGATAGCCACGAGAAGACGTCTAAGCCCACTGAGAAAAAGTAAGCCGACTTCCACTCCCCTGAACACTGTTCGTTTTCACACATTACTGCCACGCATATCTGACCAAAATCTTGCTGAGTTTGTTTTGCACGGGCTGGACCATGGCTTTAATGTTGGACACTCTGGCACTATGCATTCCCTGTTCTCTGATAATCTTTCTTCTGCACGTGAACAACCTTCCTTTGTTGACGACCACATTGCTGATCGTATTCGCGCCGGCGAATCTGCCGGCCCATTTTCTGTCCCACCCTTTGATGTTTTTGTTTCTTCACCCCTCGGCGTTGTCCCCAAGAAAAACGGGAAACTCCGTCTGATCCACCATTTGTCTTAACCCAATGGCCAGTCCGTGAATGACAGCATAGACAAAGACACATTCTCTCTTCAGTACGTCACGGTGGACGACGCCATAGACCTCTTATGCATGCATGGTCCAGGCACACTTATGGCTAAGCTGGATATCCGTAATGCATTTCGTCTTGTACCCGTGGACCCAGCCTGTTATTATCTGCTAGGTTTTCAGTGGCGTGATCAATTCTATTTTGACAAGGTCCTGCCCTTTGGCCTGCGGTCAGCCCCTCATTTGTTCAACTGTGTTGCTGATGCCCTTTGCAGCATTTGCCACGAGCTGTTTTCCATCCCACATTTATTGCATCTGCTGGATGATTTTTGGCTGTGTGGGCCTGCCAATTCCCCTCTATGCCGCCAACGTCTTGAGGTTATCCTGGCTGTTTTCAAGTACCTCGGGGTTCCTATTGCAGAAGAGAAAACAGAAGGGCCTACAAATGTCCTCACGTTTCTCGGCATTGAGCTGGACTCCGTCCAAATGATTGCTCGCCTTCCTGATGACAAGCTGGCTGACTTGCGCTCTACGCTTGGCTCCCTCCGAACCCGCCGATCCCTGACGCGCAAGGATCTAGAACAGTTACTAGGCAAACTCAACTTTGCGAGTCGCGTGATCATCCCAGGACGAACGTTCATGCGCCGCCTGCTCTGATGCATACCACCAAGCCGTATCATCATGTCCGCCTGTCGTATGGTTGCCAATTAGACCTGCTGTGGTGGTCACACTTGCTGGAGGGGTGGAATGGCAAAGCCCTCCTGCTGCAATCCCATGTAACAGCGGCAGACGATATCTCCATCGAGACCGATGTCTCTGGCTCGATCGGCTACGGTGCACTCTACGGCCCTGAATGGTTCGCAGTCTGTTGGCCTCGGCACCTCACTGCACGCTGCATTACATTCAAGGAACTCTACCCGATCTGTGTGGCATGCGCTACCTGGGGCCACAAGTGGAGCCGCATGCGCATCTGTTTCCACTCGGACAACACTGCAGTAGTTGCTGTCGTGGCATCTGGCACCAGCAAGTGTCCTAATGTGATGGCACTTCTCCGACAAATGTTCTTCATCTGTGCGAAGGGCAACTTTATGATCACTGCACGCCACATTCCTGGCGTCATTAACGTGCGTGCTGATGCCTTATCCCGCCAGGAGCTCCTCCGGTTCCACAACCTCCACCCGACAGCCAACCGGAACCCATCTGACCCAAGACGCCTTCCATCCCTTCCTGGGGAGACAGCGTCAGCACCCTGTGCCTCCTCGTGATGGAAGCCTGCCCATCTCTCTGCCGGTAAGCTGTAATACCCGAACTGAGATCTCTGAACACATTGACAGCTCTGCTGTCATTTTCTGTCCCGGCGCTGTGCTGTGCCCCAGCTTTCTTTCTTGCCCATTGCCTTATCACACTAGGCAACTATTGCGCAATCTCTGGTGTCGTAGTGGGAATAGGATGCTTTATCAATTTGGGGAGTCAATCTCGCTCACCAGGCTCATCCTGCCAGTGCGGCTCACACAGCCCACCCGGCTCTCAAAAGATGCGACAGGGTCACTCACCTTGACGCCAACATAAAGATGCGGCCAGGGTCACTCACCCTGCTGCCACTAAAAATAATACTCACTGCGAGCCTGGCAAACAGCGATTGACAAACCACTCCTATCCCCACAACTCAATGCTCTCAGTGCTGTGTAGTGTGCATGCAGATGGGTGTGTTAAATGAATTTTTGCGAGCGCGCAAAAATAAGTTAACACAGAAGGCGCATGCGCCGCGCCGGACACTTCACAGTTTGCTTCCTGCTCAGATTTGCATGGCTGACTGGTGACTCTCTTCAAAGCCCACCCTCCCATGCCCTCTGCTTCTTTTCTGCTGTGCTGCACCATGCTGAGGCACATCTTCACTTTCCTCTTGGTATCACAATAACCAACATTCAATATCACATCTCTTCAGTTTAAATAACTGAATAAAGAGGGGAGTCAATCTCGCTCACCAGGCTCATCCTGCCAGTGCGGCTCACACAGCCCACCCGGCTCTCAAAAGATGCGACAGGGTCACTCACCTTGACGCCAACATAAAGATGCGGCCAGGGTCACTCACCCTGCTGCCACTAAAAATAATACTCACTGCGAGCCTGGCAAACAGCGATTGACAAACCACTCCTATCCCCACAACTCAATGCTCTCAGTGCTGTGTAGTGTGCATGCAGATGGGTGTGTTAATGGTGGCCTACGTGAATGCTGCTTAAAACTAAACGTAAGAATGCATGCCCAAATAGGTAGAAGTAACAAACCTGGAAAGGAGGAATCCATGTTAGGGTTGGGATAGGCATAAAACCATCCATAGCAGCCTTGGCTCTCGGAATCAGCTACGCTGTCGCTGGTGAAAGTCACCTAATACATTCAAGCACAAGGGCAAGCAAACACATTTTTTCTCCTACACATGTACTGTTACAGTATAGTGTATACAGTGGAGTTGCGTAATGTCCACCACTTTCTGAGTATACATGTACTTCATATGTTTTTCGAAGGCGCAAGAGAAAGAGGTCTGTCCAGTTGACTTTGCCAATAATAACCTAGAGTATAGCGACAACTCGCGAATAGTGACACTTTTTTTCGGTGGCCAGAGCAAATACCCATCACACTGCATACATTCAACTCGGATATAACAACAGCTTGAATAGGGACAATTCGCCAAAACGACATGATTTGTGTTCACCGTGACCAAGAGTGCGATGTGAATACCGACAATTCCGACAAATGAGTGCCATCAAGCTGTCATCTACAGGTTGAAGCCATACCTCCGAGCTGTTGATAGTTCAGGTGGCCAGTTTGATGTATGACAGCTTGGAAGAGCCCCTATTCTCGAGTCCTGGTTCAACACTAGCTAGCTTGGCTGTCACCAAGGCACGCAAGTAAAAACCTGCCGACAAGATGCCGAACATCGTCTAGACGCGTCCATGCCTGGTGTGGCGTTTCCTGCAATGTCATCAGTTCTTGAGGTGCAGTCAAGTGGCTGTCTTCCATTTCGATACCGACAATGAAGAACATCAAACCTGTGGTCCCAACAATTCTCCATCCAAGGAAGGACACAGAACACCTAGGCTTCGTTCAGATCAAGATTTGGAGCCTGGTCGATAGCCAGGCCACCGCCGTAGAGGCCTGCCACTCCCGATTCCTGGCTGCTAGTCTCTGGCAGAGCGCGACGGTGGTGGTGTTGGTAAAGTGGACGCAGAAATTTCCTTGCCTGTGAGGTAGGATAATAGAGCTTGAGTAGAAACCCTGCATTTATATGCATACATTATGTATATGCGTGTGCAACTATGCATATGAAGAGTTGACATGTAGATGCAAAAAGCGACAAGCGCCAAATTGAGATTTTGAGCTCAGTGTAATCAACAGATCGAGTAAATTAAGATTTTGAGCTCAGTGTAATTAAAAAATCTAGAGGCACCTTCAATACCAAATCTGACTAGAAACACTTGAAAATGGTGGCCAAACATGGATTCGGATACAAACCACACATAGAAGGAATCATTTTTTGGTCAATCATGTGAAAGTGATGACATGGTTATGTCGCATTGTGCAACTAGACCCATGTGCTCCCAGTGCCGCAGTTTTTCAAATATGGTCACTGCATACAGTTCCATGGCACCAGTAGAATAACAACAGGACTATTGTGATGGGCCAAATGTCGCTATTGATGAGGTTGGCGACAGTTTGGAGCCGTAAAATATTTTGACTCCCTGGTTTCACCTCCTCTCTCCAGAACTCTGCGAAACGAGGAGTAAAGGCACAGCCAGACTGATTCCATTTTCTCTGATGGATACTCCTGCCAGCACTGAACAGTAGCGGCTAGCAAGTCCCGTTGACTCTCCTGAGCCACGAGACTCACGTCGGACTGCAGACTTCTAATGAATGCATGGTCAGCAACGTTCAAATCTGGGCTTTGCACAGGTTGAACAAGAATTTGAATTCATTGTGCCGTGCGATCGGAGCAGCTGCTTGTTCACTCACTCATTGTGTGGGCTCGCTGCTCCTCTCTGTCGCTCTATATCACTCCCAAACTAAGAGCTAGAGAGGTTGAGCAGCGCATTATGACCTTGGAGAAGTTGTATTTCAGTTCCGTTCGCCATGGCTGTCATCACCTATGTTGCCACAGCGCATCCAGCATTTCCTGTTGGTTTGTTGTGAACGGTCGCTTTCCTTGAATCGTTTTTTTCAGGTTATGCCAGGGAAGGCCATGAAAGTGATCGTGACTCATTTCGCACCAGTTTGTGCGCAAACCAGTCCCTCCAAATCCATCACGAAGTTTTTGCTAACGGAGCAAGTAACTCACAACTACTCATTCAGTTTTTCTAGGGGTGAAACTAATACGAATATTGACTATCCGAATATTCTTTCCTTTAACGAACGAACGAACGAATATTCTTTCGTTTAAGTTACGACTGACATGTAGTATCACTATGTGTTCATGGTTCATGTATTTGAAGATGGTTTCATGTTGTAGGAAAGAGCATAATCGTCACAGGATTTCCAGGGGTCTTACAGTACGTGACTGTATAACTGGAAATCCGCAGATATAGTCACGCATAAAGTAGTTATATTATTATTATTAGGCCAAACTAAAGAAGGTGTGTGGTTCGACTAACATGGACATTTTTTTTACGGGCGGGCGGGCGGATTTTTTTTTTTTAATATATTTTTTAGTACATGTAAATACACTGTATACGCGTATCGAGTAGACTCTACTACCAGCACAAGGCAGCAGTCGTACCACTCACTGCACTGCACTGCAGTACAACTACAAGTCAAGTCCAAAAGGAGCCGCCTGCGTCCGCAGACTCACGCCGCACAGCACGTAGACGTGGACGTGTTCAGTCCACGTACGTCAGTCACACGACAGCCCGCCGAAAAAAAGTTACGGTCGGGCTGAAATTGTACGGTCGGTCGGGTGAGTCGAACCACACACCTTCTTTAGTTTGGCCTTATTATTATTATTTTTTTTTTTTGCAATTCTAAAAATAATAACTCACGATGGAATCAAACTCACAATGGAATCAAACTCATGATGGAAACGACAACCCAATGAGTTGGAAAACCAACCACAGAATTATATATTGGGAATAGAGTCAGACACAACAACAACCGAAATCAGTACACCAAAAATCTGTCCTACAAAAAAACAAAGGAACAAGAAAAACAAGAAAGACGAAGTACAAAGAATCCCCCCAAAAAAAGAGGGGAGAACGGGATGAAAGAGGACCGGAGAGCGGCAAACCCCAGGAGGACTTAGCGTCACGTAGTAGCGGGAATGCGGGCCTCCACAGAAACAGCATCCACATCCGCCGCCAGACCAGGTGCACGGAATGCACGGCGACTCCCACGAACCATCAGGACGGAGTCGCGGACAAGGCTGAAAGCCAGGTCCGTCCGCAGCTTTCCCATCACGAGGGGATAAGGCTGCGAGAGCTTGGTGGAGAGCTTCGTTCCGAGCAGCTTCAGGAACCGGGTGGCCTCCTTCGCCAGGGCACCAGCAGAAGACAGGACGATCGGGGTGAACGACGCGTGCTCAACTTCCCGGATCCGGATATTATTATTATTATTTCTCCTTTATTCACTTCTTTCGAAGGCGATAAGCCAGACCCACCGGGAAATATTTCCATGGGTGGGACAGCAAAAAAGAAAGTGAAAAAACAAAAACAAAAACAAATAAATAAATAAAACCTAAAAACCAAAGGGACAAGAACTAGTTGAAGGAAGAGGAAGAAAGGAAAGAAACTCAATCCGAACTCCAACATCAAAACAATAATAAAGAATTTGCAGCGATTATTATTAGGCCAAAACAAATAATGACCTTGTTTCCGGTCGCCCGACCGGGCCACTTTTTCCCAAATTCTGAAACTTTTTTTGGTCCCAAATGTATGCAAACGGTGGCAATGCCATGTGTGCAAGTGCACTAAACGAGTCATAACTCAGTCTATCTCAACCGAATTCCACAATCGAAACACCTACAAGGTAGCAGAGATTCTCAGCTGTCGGCTCGAGAACCTCCGGGGTCGATACGAGCTAGAATAACGGAGCTGGAAGGACTCGAACTGTTTGCTTGATTTCTCAGGATGTACGAAAACAGGAATACACCACATGCTGTACAAGAACAGTGAGTCAGTCAACTTTGACATTGATCCTTGCCATGATATAATGTACAATGTACATGTGTAGTTGCTCTTGTCCATCAATGCCACAACGATTGAGGAACCAAAAAAAAGTATCCAAAAAAGTAGTTTCATTCCGGCCGACCGAGTCTCCTTTTTGAGGGGTCGACGACCGGAAACAAGCCTATTTTTTGTTTTGGCCTTATTATTATTATTATTACGAAGTCTGAAGAAAACGATTATTATTATTATTATTATTATTATTACGAAGTCTGAAGAAAACGTTGAACGGTCTCTGCTGGGATGACGACTACACCATAGCTCAGTGGTTAGAGCATCGCTGGCTACAAGCGAGGGTCCCTGGTTCGAGTCCTGGTGGTGACAGTCAATTTTTTCTTCAGACTTTTCCCGTTTGTCTCTTTCCCTCAAACCAGTTAATATTATTATTATTATTATTATTATTATTATTATAGCTACAAGCGAGGGTCCCTGGTTCGTGTCCTGGTGGTGACAGTCAATTTTTTCTTCAGACTTTTCCCGTTTGTCTCTTTCCCTCAAACTAGTGAAGATTATTATTATTATTATTATTATTATTTATTCATATTTTGATAGGGCAATCCCCACAGACTCAAGGTCTTCTTATATGAGCCAGCGCACTACGCTTCAAGCCTTGTCTTCAACATGGCCAGTTGTCGTTGGTTCACGGTGGATGAGACACTAGCTGCTGTACTTCCTGGCGACGATGATGAATTTACTGGCGATGCTGCTGATGTTGGCAGCAGCGGCTATGATCACGATTCGCCAGGTGGCAACGAAAAGAATTTTTGCGATGCTGATGAGGAAGAGGACGATGGCGAGAATTTGGCGAATTCGGCATGCATGCAGTATTCAAATTTGTTCGTCGTAACGAATATTCGTCCGGTTGAGTTTATCGAATGAACATTCGAATATTCGGAATATTTTTTCACCCCTAATTATTTCTACATTCATTTTGTAAATAAATTATTGGATGCTGAGTGCAGAGATTATCCATGTTTCCTTCTTTGTGCTGAGATTATGCACAAAAACTTGTAAAAAAAAAAACAATGATTCCTCCTGACTGCATTTGACTTCAAAAGATGACTTGCAGACAAAGGCAAGAGGATTGGTGAGTCTTTCGTCGACACGGCCGGGTCAATATCAAGAACTCCCTTGTTGCGACTACAAAGTACAGATAACACAGGGACACACCGGAACAAG